TCCCTCTGCAGACCCACCTCATGTCATTCCACAAACTCCCCTATTACTCAGAAGAGCCAGTTTGGTGTAGTGGTTAGGAGCACAGGCTCTAATCTGGGAGAACTGTGTTTTATTCCCCACTCGTTCACATGCAGCTGTTGTTGTGACCTTGGGTCAGTCACATGTCTCTCAGAGCTGTTTTCTCATGAGCAGTTCTTGAAGGAGCTCTCTCAGCCCCACCCACCTCACAGGCAGTGTTCCCTCTAAGCTGAGTTACTGTGAGCTAGCTCACAGTTCTTTAGCCTCTGGTGCACACATCTTTGTCTTAGCTCAGGAAGGGATGGCTCCAGAGCAAACTAATTTATGCAGTAGCCAAATCATTTGCTCACAACTTTAATGCCAGTAGCTCACAAAGTAGACGTTTTGCTCACAAGACTCCACAGCTTAGAGGGTGTGTGTTGTGGGGAGGGGAAGGGAAAGGAGATTGTAAGACACTTTGAGATTCCTTTGGGTAGTGAAGGGCAGGGTATCAATTCAATCTCCTCCTCCTCCTTTCATGGAGATCAGTGGGAGGCAGAAGGTTCCATTCTGCTAATGAAAAATTTAGTTTGGATGTAACCCTCCACCCTATGTGCGGGGTAGGGCGGGGTAGAAATACCCAAATAAATAAATAAATAAATAAATAAATGTGTTTAAAATAAAACAATCCTTGAATATCAAAAGTTAGGAAAACACTATAATTCTAAGGCTGTCAGTTGTACCCCTCTCCCCAATAATTCTAATAGTCTTCTCCCTCCATTTCATTTAATAGATCAATGAACGAAATAAAAAATCTCCAGTATCTACCTCGGACCAGCGAACCCCGTGAAGTTCTTTTTGAAGACAGAACAAGAGCACATGCTGATCATGTTGGGCAAGGGTTTGACTGGCAGAGTACAGCTGCTGTAGGAGTGCTAAAAGCTGTACAGTTTGGTGAATGGTAAGTGTAGTGGAGGTTTAGTGCCAAAATGGAATGTAGACAGACTTCTTTCAAAATAATAATTGCAGGCACACTTGTAGAAACATTTAAAATCTAACATACTAGTGAAAACAATTAGAATATAAATCCAGATTTCTGCAGACTGCTGATGATGGTATCTTTTTTCTTTGAACTGTAATTTGCAGGAAGGAATGCTCATTGCTTTTTCTGCATACTCTTGGGAAAGTTAATTTGGCATACTCTCATATTCCAAAGCAGAACTAATAATTTTTTGGTCTGTGTGCACCACACAAATGAAATCTGTACATGCACAGAGATTTGACTTGGAAACTTCCAACGCTAATCCTTCCTCTTTCAGGCTCAAGTGCACTTGTGTAAGCCTGAGTGGGAGGTATTGTGACCCTCCTCAGTGCTTTTTTTAATCGCTGCAGCACCAACTGGAAACTTTTCTGAGTTCTTGTCTCAGAACTCCTTTACTTCAAAAAAAATTCTTCAGTACTTTAGTTTCTTCTTTTGGAATTTTCTTCTTGGGAATTTTTTAAAATCAAGTTACCCTCCACCAGCCAGTACAAGCACCTGTTATGCCTTTATAATAGCCACAATGTTGGGTGTATTGTTTGGAAGGGATATGATGGCAAGTTCTCTAAATATGTTATATCTTCCTCCCTCTAGGAGTGACCAGCCTCGTATAACCAAAGATGTAGTTTGCTTTCATGCGGAGGATTTCACTGATGTAGTTCAGAGACTTCAGTTGGATCTACACGAACCTCCAGTATCACAGGTACTTAAACATTCTTTGGTTGAGACTTCTACTGTGCAAGTATTAAGGAACAGAGGATCTTTGATTCTTTACTCCCTATTAAACAAGGCTTCCAAAATATGGAAAGCCACACAGATGAAACAGAAACATGCACATTTTCTGCTAAAGAAGACTTAAATTTCAGTGTGAGTAAAGGTAACCAACTCCTCATTACAAGGCAGGACAATCCAGTCCAGTCTTTTACAGAATATCACAAACAGCATTCCAAATGATGCTTCATTGGTGTCATGTACAAGTTGTACCACACAACACTGAATTGTCTTGCCTAGTAATTTACAAGGTTTCTTTGGTGACTTGAGGCTACTTTGTGACATTAACAAACATGTAACTTCCCTTACACTTGGAGGTACTGAGCTGATCAGAGTACACAAGTACTGTTGTCAGAAAATGTAGAGAAAAATACGCATTCAAGGTGATAGTTTTATTTTTATGTAATTTATTTTACTTCATTTATACCCTGCCTTTGTCCTCTCTTCCATTTATCGTTGCAACAGCCTGTGTGGTAGGTTAGGCTGAGAGTGTGTGACAGGCCAACTTCACCCAGAAAGCTTTTGTGACACTGTGGGGATTTGACCCTTGGGTCTCCCAGTTTCTAGTCCAACACACTGATTTTTTAATGAATACATCCTTTGTATTCCTTTGTTTCATGGAGCTTCTCTGTGGCACACGTCAAAACCATGGTGTCACTGACCCAAATTTCAAGAATTACAAGTCTTGATTCTGTATCTCCCCAGTCTAGTAGCAGAAAGTGTGCTTTATGTGCCATACATACTGCATAATTTTGGACTGCAAATAAAAGGCTAATAAAAATTGGTTTTTACTGAATTTTGGCTAGCTTGGATGTTATGAACTGTGAATGAAAGGCACTAACAGAACAGACCTGTCTCCCCTGAGACCTCTGAAAAGTTGATGGTGGAAGTTACAGGGATTTCATGGACAAAGAGCCATGAGGAGCCACCACGAAGGGTGTGTGTGTGTCTGGTGATACTTCCTCTTATGCCAATGGGTTGTTCCCTGCCAGTTGAATTTGTGCTGGTGGAAGATGATGAAGGGGGTGATTCTCCACAATTCTCTTTCCTCAGAGCAGCTTCCTCCCCATGGGCTTCTGTCTGCAAAGCTCCCCCACCCCCCAGCATCCGCTTTTGGGATTGTTGGGAAAGTGGGAGGAGGGAACAATTTGCAACTTGTCAAGTCCAAGCCACTGTGCACCTTTGCTGACTTCTCTTTGATTATGTGCTTTTCTTGTAATTCGTGTACTAGCAGCTCCATCTCAAGACTGTTGGTATTCATGATACTTTTAAGATGTTGTTTTAAAGAGGCCTGTGCTTCAGGGGAACAAGCTGTGGCTTTTATGATTTATTTAAAAAGCTAAAATTGGTCTGCTAGGCAGAATATAAGCACTTTGCAGTAGAAATGAATACCTAGTATGTACCGTGCATGTGGCTTACCACCAACCTATTTTCTCCTTTCAGTGTGTTCAGTGGGTGGATGAAGCCAAGCTAAACCAAATGAGACGAGAAGGTATTCGCTATGCTAGAATCCAGCTATGTGATAATGACATCTACTTCATCCCTAGAAATGTCATTCATCAGTTCAAAACGGTGTCTGCCGTGTGTAGCTTAGCCTGGCATATAAGACTCAAACAGTATCATCCTGCAGGGGAGAATTCTCAAAGTATGGAAAGCATTTCAAACATGGACAGTAGCATCTGTGACAAGACGGAATCAGATGCTGAAGACCAATGCATGCTTGTGAAGCAAGAGTCTGAAGAAGGAGGAACAGAAGTACAGATTACAACGGCGGCACCATCGTCCTTGTTTTCGTCTCTGTCGTGACTTGTTTTACAAGATGAGCTAGCTCAGTCCCTTCCAGTTTTTAAACTAGAATCAGATCAGCAACACAATCCAAGATGATCATACAGGCTTTCTTGTGTGATATGTACATAATCATATACATTTTTAAACAGCTTTTTAAAATTTTGATGTGAAGTTATAGTTTTATAACTGGGTTATGTTTTATTGGAGATATCTTGCCTATAATTCTATAAAGAGAGGTGACATTCCAAAATGTCAAGCATATCTTTTTTACACAGATTATGCAAAGTTAGAATTGTATTTTACTCCCTTAGTACAGCATGTAGTAGTGGACTACAGTTTGTTTTAAGGGAATGAGGTAATATTTTGACATCTCTGTTTTTCCTTCAGGAACTTCAAGTATTTAGTAAATCTGATACCCTTACATCTGTTCTATCTTTGGCTTTCAGCATAAAAGGGATGGTTTCTGTGGAAGATTCACAAAGTGACTCTTCCATCTGATGGCTTGAATGAAATAGAAAGCAAAGCACTTTTAATGATCAATGATATTTGTGTGTGAGAGAGAGAGTGTGAGAGACAAAGAGTGACTTTTGAAAGCCTGGAGGAAGCTCAAGTTACCAGCAGTGTAGTTTAATTGCTTATCAACACATTAACAAAGAAGCTGATGTATGAGGTTAGTTGCAGAGTGTGTGATCTTGAAAAGTAATAACTGACACTTCCCATACCTCTGCTTTTAATGTTTGTGGGAACAGCGTGTTTCAGTAACTTCTCTGATGGCTAATGTAACACTAGTGTCTAATGAAAGTTAACTGTTGGCAGTTTCTTTGAGGAAACTGTTCTCTTTGAGCACTTTAAGGCTTTACAATATTCTAACAGATTTGGTGGCTTGTTTAATTCACAGCAAGCATCTGAGATGGAAACCATCCTCTCCTTTGCATTGATGCACTTAATCCATTGGGTAGGCTTAATTATATATATTGGTTGCCTTTATTCTCAAAATTCTATACTGTTGTTTCACAAAGTATCACACATGGATTGCTGTTTCCACATGTGACTCTTGGGTACACACAGGGCTACTGCTGTGTTGAAAAACTATATGGCAGCTTGTCAACTGTCATTAGCTAACATTGTTTAACAGTTATACAGTTTTCCCCAATATTAACTGTAGTCAGCTTTTCACTCACAGCATACTGAATTACATTTATTTTTGGTACTGAAAGAAAGAAGCCCTTCATATATAGGATGTGAACTTTATAAAGGTGTAATCAAAGCTGTTTCTAAGCAACTTGGTTCTTGTCCTCACTGGGGTAAGGAGAGAGACTTGTAGCACTATATGAACCAGAAGAAAGCAGCTGTGATTTTAAATGCATCTTTGATATCAGTCTTTTTGAAAAAAACTTGCATATAAATGTTTATAATAGCAATTACTTTGTGCAATATTGTTTTGTGTAGATTTATATGCCTATTAGCACCTCAGTATAGCGGGCACAATTTTAAACCAGTAGCAAAATAATCGGAAAACACTGCAGTGATTAGATAGAGCCTGTGTTATTACTCCTGATATATACACATATATATATGTATAGATTGTCCTGGTGCAAACCTGAAGATGAATAACAAATATTTAAATTTCAAACTTAACTTTTCAGATTGGAGTGGGGTGAATTGTGTGTAAATAAGGTGGTAGGAGATCTTTCTATATAAGGTAATACGTTTTTATGCAGGAGCATAATTTTAAATCTTAAATTCTAGATTGACCAGTACTGGTTCAGGATATAATCCCTGCATATGATCTGGCTTTTTCCACTTTTTTACGCTTGTCCAGAAGAATCTTCATAAACGTTATGAGAGCTGTGCAAAGTATAATTCTTCACAGGCAATATGAGTTTTAGTGCATCACTTACATATATGAGACCATCTCTGTTATACCACCTTTATTTTATCATGTTTCTCCCATTCATTTTACTAGTCTTCCAGGCATCTTTTTTTCTTTGCCCATTGTGACCATGTCATAAAAGATGGCTTATGCCATTTCTTAGACATTTCAACTAGCATAAGTAACTGTCACCTGTGAGCCAGCACTGTGTATAAACCACTCGGGAACTGGTACAATCTTGAAAGATTTTACAGATTAAGGGAAAGTCATTCGTTACTTGTGTCTCCCTGTTTCAAAACACAGCTTGCACAAATTTAAACCAACAAATCCAAACCCACCCACCCCCCCAAAAAAAAAACAAATGTTGTGTACTCCTATTCCTTGGTTATCCTTAAGAACATGACATAGAATTAATGGGGAACAGTAGTTGGAAGTTTCTTCTGGAAACATTAAGTTACAACAGCAAACTTTTGTATATTCATGCATAACACAGAGGAAACTTACTTGACTAAACAGCAGTGTAGCCTACTAAAGTAGTAGAAAGCAACCATGGAGGGTTTTTTTTTTTTAAGACTACTAAGGTAAAGCTTGTGCCAATTTGATCCTGTGTTGCGTTTAATGCAGCATTCTCTTTGAATATTCATATTTCATATATTTAAGGAGACTTCAATATCTCTCTCCTGTTTAGGTATCCTAATTCCACATTTTGTTTTTACATAGAAACACTTGAGACACTTAAAATGGTTTATAAAAACAAATTGCCATTACTTATAAATTCCTGTGAGCTCCAGTCATGCACGTAAAGCACTTTTGTGTGCACGCTGGACCTGTGCTGACTTCCACTTCCAGCTGCAGCCTTTTGTAGTGTGTCAGATTATCCTTCAGGATCCCTTGACCTTTAGGAATTTGGGTGGACACTGAGTGGCTGCAAGTGGGGAAAGAGACTAACAAGCTCTTTTTAAAAATAGGAACAGGGACATCTGCTTAAGTCTGCATAATTATATAATTGAAGTAAAGGATTGTTTTGGTAAGGAAGATGACCTTAAAAATATAGCCCCAAGAGAACCACTGATTGGGGGGGGGGCGGCTGACAAATGAGCAGATTCAAATTGGCAAGGATCATTTGAGGAAAGTAACATCTTTAGATTTGTAGACCTAAAGATACTTTAAATGTAATTTCTCAGGAAAATATTGTGAGTAAAATTGGTATTAACATGAAGATTTTGGAAATCTATCTTGCCGATGTCACTGATAGAGATAGCTTAAGCTAATAGGAAATCTTACCTTATAAATCTTAGAGTATATAAACAAGATATAATTACAAACTCAAGGGCAGAATGATTGTTGTAATAAAATCTAGGTATTTTGTTCTGTTGGAAAGCTTTCTCCTCATCAGATTTCAATACTTGTCAGATATTCCAGTTAACAATTCAGTATATCCTGTCATGACTAAACTCAGTTGCTAAATACTAGAAGTTCCAGAAACCTAGCTCTTGTCTAAAAAGCCTGGTTGGCTTCAAGTTGAAAAATGGGGACCCTCTTATATTTAACTAAACATGATATTGTTCCTTTTTATCAAAGTCCAAAGAAAAGTGGTGTTTTGTGTTCACTGAATGGCTGTATTGGTCTGCTGATCTATTTAACAAATCTGCAAAAGTAAAATTAAGATATATGTAAGTGAACTAGGTATTTCACATTCTCCCCCCTAAATGTTTCTGAACATAAAATCTATTTTGTAGATAACTAATGTTCTCTTCCATGAAGATGGAATGTGTGGAGGACTCATGCAATATTAAGAGACACTCACCTTTATCGTAAAGTTTTTTGCATACAATACAAGGGCTCTTGTTCTTTTAGCAGTTTTCCTAAATGTAAGGACATAACTGTGCAGCAAGAGTCAGGGAAGTTTTCATTTATTGTCAAAACCCCAGGAAAAATATAATTTAAATTCACTTTTTCTCATGCTGCCATTCACATGCTTGAATTTATACTGAGTGGTAAACTCTTTCACTTAGGGAACAATCCAGCCAATGTTAAGTGCCTTTAAGCCCCACTGATTTCTGTAGAAAATTGAAATCAGTGGTACTTAAATATGTTTAATGTAGGTGGGATTGACCCTTATTTTCTTATAAATGCTGAGTATTTATAGCCATATTGGTGTTTTTATTTTTTTGAAGGTTGCTAAGTGGGGGTGGTTGTCCTTCAGCTCCTGAAAGCTTTGTACTGGAGTTTAATTTAGGTTGGTTCAACAGATGACTTCCCAATAACATTATGGCCTTCCATTAGTATACATAATAGTTTTAGAACCCAACAGCACATGTAGTTGAGAAGGGGCTTCTCTTAATATAGCACTTTCAATTCTGTCTAAGCAAATACTTATACTTTACATGTTGTACAAAATAGATTTGTGTAGTGTTTTGTGATTAAATTCAGTTTTGATTGGCAGCTAAGATATTTTTCTGTGGTTTTAATATATCTAAGGTCTTTGCATATACAGGATATGTACAATTGCCTGGAAGACTGTTTTTGCTTTGTGTGGCCTTAGTATATTTATTGACATTTAGCAAGTGTTTTAAAGAGGTTTTTATAATAGTGTAAACTGGGAAAATTTTAAGCCTCTCTGTGAATAATCCTCTAACGCAGTGCATTTCTTTTAGTAGCTGACTGTACAAGCGTATCAAACTGTTAAAGCTATTTCTTTGTAAAAAAAAAAAGTACATGGAATGCATAGATTTTTCCCCCCCCTGTAAAGTATTTTTTTAATAAACAGAAGTCTGATTTCCCCTTAATGAGAACTGTTGTTTGGCAGAAAACCTTATATTGGTCATGCTGGGCAGGGTGGAACAGTTGAGATACAGCTCTGGTAAAATTTCTTCAACTCAAATACAATTGTAGGCAGGCTGCTAGCCTTTTCCCAACTGCCTTGGACCTTTTTACTGTCACCTCCCCCCAAAAGCATTAATCACTACTGTCCTGAATGAACTGATTACAAAGTTAATATGCAGAGTGCTCTGAAATGGCCTTTTCAGGGATTTGAAGGAGCTTGGTCAATGGATACAAGAAAAAACAGTTTCATCCCTTACTTAGACTGCCCTTGTTATGTGGATGTGGAACATAAATATTATATAGTCAAAACAAGGTTCTCAGCTGCTTTTACAGATTGTGAAAGATTCAGCCCTTTCCTAAGGTATAGATGGTCCAGGTCCACTACAGATACTGCTGAAAGATACACCAGAACTTTTCTGTTCAGAATTATTGCCTGTATATCTGG